TTTTGTCCATTATAACTGTGGCTCCTCCTTTGTCCGCCTGAAGGACTATTTGGTTATTCCTTTCCAGGGGCAGACGACTTCGGACTAGGTGCGTTCTACATAGTCGCCCTGGCAACAAGACCAAGTTGCGACAACGAGGACGGACTAGGTGCGTTCTACATGGTCTCCCTGAAAGCAAGACCAAGTTGCGACAACGAGGTCAACCCACTTTTAGAAATATGTGCTTGATCAAAATACTCTGGAATTCTGCTTTTAACGCATTGCCTGAAGTTTTGTAAGTTCTCATATGCTCTCATATGCTCGTGACTACTTTCTGTTTCTAAAAGTAATGGGCGATATTAGAGCTTAACACCTGGTATCTGATCTTAGTAATTTAAGTACCTAGTAAGCATTTAATCGCTGTTTATGTAGGATATTCTTCTTTTTATACCCGTGCTTATGAATTTTAAGTAATTTACATATACTATTTATCTTATGGGACCTTACCTTATCGTATTTTCTCGAAAATTTACTTTGTACTCATGCAGAAGAGGCCAATCAATGCCGTTTATGTCTTTAAATTTTAAAGAATAACTTCGTTTCACAACGATTAGCTTTAGAAATTACTTCTTGAGTAAATTCTGGCTTCGATTTTAGCTTGGATTCACTATCCTTAATAAAGCTGTGCTGAACCCAATAGCTGCATAAGACTGACCAGTTCACTGCTCCTCACAATTTACTCGGATTTATATATTGAGAATAAACCTGATGTGTAGATGTTAGTTCTGATGCATAATTTTATATTAGATTAGTTTTGATTTATGTATGTATATAAACTCGAACCATTAGACTATATACTTGAAGACTTTTCGCTGGAACTGTCAGTGAAATGCGTCATACATTCTACAGGGCTGGAATTTATATTATCACTGCTAAATTGTAGCCGCTAAGGATGACGCATCATTACCGAGGCCGGCGAAGCGTCCGCACATATAAATTAAACGGGTTTATCGAAGATATGAAGACCAAGATGGTGTGTCTCTTTTCATTGTATAAAAGCACTTTGATCTTGTATTCGTAACTTGGTCATATTGATAGGAAGACTTAGAGGAAAGCACCTAGGCTGGAGTCCATTGTACTTATGATAATTTCCAGTAGGACCGTGGACGTCTTACATTCCCAGACGTTTCGACAGCATCTTAGTCGGCATCGTCAGTAAGTCTTGCCATTCTTAGCATCATACTACAACTCGTCAATGAGACATGCGAAGCCGATTATTTGACTAAACGTGTGCTAAACAGTTGTAGTATCTCTCATGTCCTGGGTTACTTACATATATCCTCGTATCACGCCTCAACTATTACTATTTTCCTTATTTAAATGTTGTGTGGTGCGCCCTTTTGAGTAGCTTTTATTAGAACCCTCCACACTGGACGCTGGCGTTCTCACCTCTCTTAACCTCTGTGCTATGAATGTTGATCAGAGTCTACCATATTGTTACGCAGTCCTTCTCTAGGTCTTAGAGTCTTTCTCTTGCTCGGTAGGATCCGTCTGCTTTCTCTTTGATTCAAGTATTTCTCTCGACCCCTTCTGTGTTACTCGAGGCGTTATTACCCTTCTTCATCTGGGTGATTAATTCGAGGCTAAAGCCTCTGAGTAATTCTAATGGTCAAGCCTTTTCTTCATGGACCACGTCTATGATGAAACAGGCCTACTGTCAGCCAACTAGCTCCAGCCTACACATCGTCTACCCTATTTCTATCGGTAATACCAAGTATATGACTTTCTATGTCCTACTCTCTTGTGCGCCAACCCACAAACGTTAGGGCTCAACATTGAACCCAATCAATGCAAGCAGTACTACAACATTTGTGGATTGGCGCACAAGAGACTAAGGCATAGCAAGTAATAGACTTGGTATTAGAGATAGAAAGAGGATAGACGCTGCCGAGACTGGATCTAGTTGGCTGACAATATGCTCGTTTTACCATAAACGTGGTCCATCAGTAAATACTGGACTATAAGATTTACTCAGAGACTTTAGCCTCGAATTAGTCACCCAGACGCAGAATAGCACAGATGGAGTGGCAGTGGTCGAGTGAAATTCTTGAACCTGGGAGATAGCAGACGGTTCCTACGGGGCAAGAGGCAGATTCTGATAGGACCGTGTAACAATTTGACATACTTAAAAAAACATTCCTAGAACAAGGGTGAGAACGCCAGTGTGGAGTATGAAGAGTTCTCATGAAATCTGCTCAAAAGGTCACAACTACACAACATTTAAATAAGCAATGAAAAATTGTGATCGTAAAGGCATTATACGAGGATATAGGAAAGGTGAATAGACTAGGACAGAAGGAGAGATAACACAACTGTTTAACATACATTTGGTCAAAAGATCTGATTTCCTTATCTCTGACGAGTTGTAGTAAACTGCTTAGAATTGCAAGACTCATTGACGATGCCGACTACGATGCAGTTGAAACGTCCGACTTTGAAAATTATCACGCATACAATTGACTCCGGACTAGGTGTGTTCCTCTAAATCTTCCTACCAATATGACCTAGTTGCGAAAACAAGGTCAAAAAACTTCTAAACGGTTTTATGTGGAAATTCTCTTGAATAATATGTCAGATGGCGCCTGACTATATATGTTTCATAATTTATTCATTTTGCCCCGTCCAAGTTGTGAGTAAAAGGTGCTACCTTACTTTTATATTTCTTTAGGGCTCAATTTGATGTCAATTTTTCGCTTTTTTCTTTTCTTTAAGTAAAGATTACGAAAATCATTAGCCAGTCTTTAAATAGCCCATTCAATATCAATTGCCTCTTAGTTATTGAACTAATTCATCGCAGTACAAAGATCAGTTTTTCATACTTGTTATACTTTTGTTAGTATTTCCAGTTTCAAAGGAAATGGCCTCTCGCCTGCTATCTTCTGATAACTCCGGTGAGGCTCCACTGACTCTACCTCCTCATCTCGACTTCAGTCTAGCTGAGATTCGCACTCAGTTGATCGCCCTTGGCCTCTCTTCCGGCGATTCTGATGCCAACGAAGATGTAAAGTTTTCCAATACTTCAGATTCTCATCTAGTCAGGCTCAAGTCTCAACTGGATGAGCTTATTCGCTCCGAGCACTTAGCCGCTCTCAATGATGGTGCCGTCTCTAGCAAATGTGGTAGCATTAAAGGAATACCCATCTCTAGTCCCGCTCATTATCTTCAGACGAAGTCAGTAAATATACATGGGACAACTTCCGGAACCCAAGATATTCGTATTAGGAGCGAAACTACTGGTAAAGCTCTTAGCGGATATAGTGATGATCTTGTTGAGCTAGAAAATTTAGACTGTGGGATTGGTCTGGCGCAGTCCGACACGGTCGTTCCCAAGTCATTATGTGACAACGCCACTTGTCGACAATCTAGCTCTGAGGATTTCACCGTCTCCGTAGGTCCCTTTAATGATTTCTGGTTAATCATTTTTATTGCCATGTTTATTTTATTGTATTTATTACTAAGCAATGTTAATATTTTTTATTTATTCAATACGTTGTATCTTCTATTTAGCCATACAGCTCCAGCAAAGATTCATTAATTTTTTCATTTGCTATTAACATTATTTTTGCTCTATTCATTTAAACTCAACTGGTCTAACAACCATAGGATATTGTTGAATTTGACAATTCTTTTTCTGAGCATGATTTCTCATTGGGAATTTCCTCGTATGATATAAGTTTATGTAGACCGTACTTAAATGTATTTTAATCAAATACTGAGTCAAAGAGTAGGCTTTCGATTCAATCAATAATTGTTAAATAGAAATTTTATTTGCTCTGGGTCGCATATGTTGAGAAAGGGTTGATGGTTTAGTTTACCCAAAATGATGTGAGTATGCTTGTTTCCCTAAGGTATTCTTATCTAGAGTTTAGTACCTTTTGGAATTGCTGATTAGTCGACGCTGGCAATATCGTAAATCTACCCAATAAGAATATTAATAATTTTATCGTTCGTAACAGGGAACACAAGTTCGTCGTTGGCATACCATTAATTTCTTTAGAAAAAGCTTGTGGAACTGATTCGTAAATTTGCTTCACAGGATCCCAGAGGAGGA